AGTTTATGGTCTATGAGTAGTAGCTATAATCGCATAACGCAGACGCCACCGCTAAGTCGTGTTGAAAATTATAAAAAAAAATAATAATTTTCGATTATTTATTTTGATTTCATTATTTTATTGTATACCACCTCGTATACAATATTGGATATTGTATAACTAAATCTAAATTATTAAATTATTACTATAAATTATAACTAAATTATTCGTGTCTTTTTGTAAATCTTAGATTCGAGATATTTACCGTATACATTAATCACGTCTATATAATTTGTAATTAGAATCTATTCAATAACAATAGATTTTTGATATTATAATTAATTTAGGAACCGACATTTTTTTTGTTTTCAATTCGATAATAATAATTTTTGAACGATTTATAGACATTTTCATATTTTACGATTACTTCAATATACATAAATCAAATAATATCGAGATCGACGTACCCAAAGAAAATGCGTCTGATAAAGCTAATAGAATCATTAAACCCTGCTTGAACATCATCTGAAAAGCGTAATTACAGTTATAATAATTTCTGACATAATTATTTTTTATTAAATTTTTTCATATAATTTCTAAATTTTTGTTTATAAGAAAATCAGTATTGAAAAATTAAATAAATGCACGGAGGACATTCATAAAATCCATACGAGTCGTCGCAGTTACAATTCGTTGAAATGCGGTTATAAAATAACGGATTTCCGAGTTGTTCTTAAATTTACATCTAGTTGAATATGAAAAATTAAAAATTTTAGGAATTAAATTTCACCTCGGATATCATATCAGAGGTAAAATGTATTATTATGAATATATATGATAACGCGTTATTTGTCATTAATAACGTGTTGTCTTTTGAAATCAGACGTCTCAAAAGTAATTTACCGTTATGATAATTGTAATTAGTAAATGTTCAAAGCTATAGAAATATTTACGTTGTANTAATTGTAATTAGTAAATGTTCAAAGCTATAGAAATATTTACGTTGTACGATAAAAAAAATTGTAAATAAACGCAGTGCCTCACAGTGGTAGGTATTATATAGGGTTTACCCGATACTTGCCTTTATCTAATACTTACCGGAAGAAGCAATCTTTTTAACGCTGATCGATAGTCTTAAAAACTTGAGTTTTTCCCTCGTTCGCCATTGAACTAGAGAACACGTCAACAGATTTATATAGCGCCACGTTGTGCGTCGTGATGTTTGATCAGTTTTTTCAATAGATGAAATAATTTTTATTCTAATTTTCAGCGTACCAAATTTTTAATACGTTTTGAAAGAATGGAATCCAAAGTACGACAATAGAACTCACAAAAAACTATACTAATGTGACGCTTAAATTATAAGTGAAATATTATTCAATGAGATGTTTAAAACTTATTGCACGGGAAATGATGATTTTATTTTTAAAATATACACAATACTTAACTCACGCACATTAATTAAACTGATATTTTTTTTATATACTGTAATTCCAATTGAATAGTTGAAAATGTGATTTTACCGTAGCATTCTATTGCATAGAATACGTGGGATTGTGCTTTTTTTTTTTAATCAATTTTAACCGTGTTTAGAGATATGAAATAAAACAAAAATTGTCTTTATTACCGTCATTTTTTTTTCGACTTGACTTGATTTGTTAAGTTTTTTAACGTTTATAGCGATTTTNAATTTTAACCGTGTTTAGAGATATGAAATAAAACAAAAATTGTCTTTATTACCGTCATTTTTTTTTCCACTTGACTTGATTTGTTAAGTTTTTTTCACGTTTATAGCGATTGTCAATCCCTTTTAGTCGATATTATCGATTTTTAAAGTGACGCAATAGACGCAATGTTTTATTTGGAACTTTTCAGAGGGGCTAATAAATAATCTAGCGAAGTAAAAAAGACCGGGGGCAAACGTTACTCAGAAAAAAAGCATCATCACGATTTCTTCTTTAACGGTTTTTTGAACGTGTATAGTGAAAAATAAAAAATAATTTTCATTTGGTAGAATAAAATGATTTTTAAAAATAAAAACATAATAATAAATTTATCGTATAAAACGAATGTTATTCTGCGTTTAATTTATTTATCTTAATGTAATTTTTTTTTTTGATTTCTTGATTAAAAAAATGAAAAAAATTTTACTTAAATAGATTTTAAATATTTCGTATCCAGCGATTTTTACGCGTCGTTTGATAAAGAATATTTTATTTATAAAAAATAAATCAATACACACACACGTGTATATTACTAGGAAAAATAATATACGCGCATGCAGAGGAAGTTGTATGGTAATGGTTGCTAGAATTCTGGCGGCATTATATATTTATAGAGAGAGACATATGTATATATAAACCAATATAAACTATAGAGTTTTAAAAAAAAGAGAAACATTTTTTTTGACGAGCAAAACTAAAAGGTTCACGGGGCTGCAGAATTGAGTGTGTTCCGGGCGGCAAAATTTCTAAATTTGGCCAACTGAGCGTAGACACGTAGAACTTTACGTAAACCGTACAAATAAAAAAATAATCGTGACAATCGCGATACTATTTTTACATATACTTATGTGTGCATTAGTCAATAACAGTGATTCACTGACTGTGCCTCACGATTTTTCTTTAAAAATATTAGTTTTATCTCATACGTGTAATTAGTTTATTTGTTAAAACTCATTGTTGAACTACTCGACACGAAAAATAAAGATTCCAATTTCATCCGCTAACCCTTAAATCAATATGGACTTTAGTTTTTAAAATTGCGACCTAGTTTTTTTTAAATAATCTTGTTTAGTATAAAAAAAATCAATTTTATTAAATTCTAAACGAGGTATAATCACTGTTTAAAGTTTGGGGGATTTGACAAATAAAACAGTAGTCGGGTAAATACAGTAACATTACTATTTAGCGTACCGATAAGAAATACCGGTATGTTGAATCGCAATGTAAATTTTTATTAAATATACATTTTTCTACAAAATATATAAACATATTAAATATGTATAACGTTTACTAGACAAAATATTAATAACTATTTTACAGTAGTACTTTTTTCTTACAGTTTTAGACAAATGTTAAAAATAAAGGACATTTTTAAAAACACGTGTACTCGTACTAGGTAAATAATATAGCTCATATACGAAGTAAATTAAATAATTTTAACGATAACGCGTTTAAAATAATAACGAATAATTAACGTATAAGATTTAATTATTCGCCTAGCAACTAGATTGTATCATAATAATTGTTGTTGTTTATATTATTTGTTTATAATTAAACTAAAAAAAAACTCAATATTATCATCAATATTGTTTAACTATCATTAAAATAACCGTCATTGTTGTAGGGGAAGACAGAATACATTTAAAAAGTGGTATTAAATTGAATATCTAACCAGATGACACATTTCGGCATAAGCTTAAATTACTATTTTGAGCTAAACGCTCCGTTATAACGTGTATAATGTAAAGAAACAATACGACGACGGAGCCCCCAAATTATATTTTTAGAATAATTGTTACATTTTGTTTACTACTTATTCTTACAAAATACAGTTGTAAAAAAAAAATTTTAATAAAAGTATACATAAAAAATACGCGTGAAAAATTATTTTTATTACAAAAAATGTATAATTTTATTTGTAGAATAATAAATCGCGACTAACAAAATACTCGGATATGAAAAAAAAAAACGTTCTTTAAACATTGCCAAAATATGTTAAACACTAATAATTATCTATTATAAGCGGGAAAAATTTTTTACTAATTTTATTCGTAAAATAATTTATAGAAAGCAAACCAATGTTTGCAGTTATGACTAATAAAATGATACAATATAATAGTTCAATAATTAGTAAACAAAATCCTACAACAAATTAACACGTAGTAAATGAATTCAAAAGAATATATTCTTTTCCGACAGTTACAATTGAACGTTTGAACAAGCGTAAACGATAATTAATGAAATAGTTGGGGAATTAATTATTTAATTCGACGATAATAACTAAACAGAATAAAAATTTTATTTTAATAAATATTAACAAGAAACCGATTGAAAAATAACATTGCTCGATCCGTTGCAGTACAGCTGTTATCATCTAACCCAGAGTTTCTCAAAGTGTGGACCGCGGACCCCCAGGGGTCCGCGAGCACATATCAGGGTTAGGTCTTTAAAACTGTAGGTCTTCAGATCCCCCCATCTGAATCCCAATCACGGACCCCCCCGTCCGTGATTCATTTGACTTTGAGAACCTCTGATCTAACCTAACGTTACAGCGAGATAATATATTTTTAATAAATAACAATCGTTCATTAGCAAAAATGCACGTTTTGTATTTAACTCGTAAATAATAAACAAGAGTTTATTATAAAATAAATAATGAAACATGGCGCAGTCGGGCTAATGAATTCTACGTGTATTACCCGGTGAATGAATAATAATTACAAATCAGCGTTTTCAATTAGTTTTTTTTTTTTTCTTTTTTTTTTAAGTAAGTATCATGGAATTCAATAAGCCGTCGCCGCTTAAAATGACAGGTAACCTGCCTGAAAACTTTTAGTTTTTTAAACAACAAGTTGAAATATATATATATGACTGCCACGGAAACCGATGGCGAGCCAAAGGAAGTACGAGTAACTCGCCTTTTGAACTCGATTGGTTCAGATGCATTAAAAGTGTATAACACTTTAGCGACTGATAAAAATATGAATACTGATGTACCTGGAATATTAAAAAAGATTAGAAAAATATTGTTCTCCTGGAACAAATGAAACGATGGCTCACTATAAATGTTTTACTGCCAAACAAAATGATGACCGATTTGATGTGTATTTAACGCGTCTAAAGGAATTGATTAAACCGTGTAACTTGGGAGTAAAGGAAAACGAGTTACTCAAAACTAAATTTTGTATTGGTATTCAAATTCGTGATACGCTTGAAAGACTACGCAGAGAGCACACGCTGTTAGACAAAGCGATAACGTTCTGTCAATCTGTTTGAGCATCTGAGAAAAACTGTATGGAATTGGAGAAAACAGCAAAAGTAAATCAAGTTCCCAAACAAATAAATGCCAAACCAAAATCAACTATCAACAACTATATCAGATGTGGAACAACTCACCCGATNCCCAAACAAATAAATGCCAAACCAAAATCAACTATCAACAACTATATCAGATGTGGAACAACTCACCCGATTAACAAATGTCCAGCATATTACCGTATGCTGGACATTTGTTAATTGGTTATAAACTTGTAATAAATGTAAATTATTAAATCGTTTTTTCCATCAATGTAAATTCTAAACTAGACTCCGCTCCAAAAACCGATAAAGTAAGGAAACAAATAAATAATAAATTTAATAAAAAACATAAATTCAAACAAAACGTAATTAATACGGTGGAAACCGAAACAAATAATGACATTGATAATGATGATTTCTCTTTTACAATTAATCGAATTAAGAGAAAGACGTAAATAAATTTAAAAAAAGGTTTCAAGTTATAATAGTAAATGATGTTGAAATAAATTTTCAATTAGATTCTGGCGCAGAGACTAATATATTACCTTAAAAATATTACAATAGACTAAAAAATAAAAATGAAATTGTAAAAACGAATGTTAAGATTGAATCATATGGTGGGTATAAGATGAATCCTATAGGTGTTGTAGATTTAGAATGTAGTGTTAAGGAACTAAAGGAAAATGTAAAGTTTATAGTTTTAGATAATCCTAACTGCATTCCCATATTAGGTTTAAAAACTTGCACTAATTTAAATTTAATTAAGAGAATAAATAATGTAAATGAGGAATAGTCCTCATATACATATATATATATGGTTACGCGTCCTCATTGTGAACTTAAAGATTTTATTAGGAAAAACAAAGAAGTCTTTGAAGGAATAGTTCAATTTGAAGGATTACTTTCCCAAATATAATGAAAATTAAATTAACTGAAGGTGCAGCGGTTCCGATAGCCAACCCTCGTCGTTGGGTACCGCTATCTGTTAAAAATCGACTTAGGAAGACCCCGGAATTTTGCAAATAATTGGGGGGGGGGCTTTGAAATTAAAACTTCGAGTCCACATTGTCCAAAGAGCAACGGCTTAGCAGAGAAAGCTGTAGGGATTGCAAAAAAATGATCAAAAAGAGTAGAGAAAATGAATAAGACGTAGAACTTTATTTGTTAAACTACAGAAATGCTAAAGTGGCTAATCTAAATTATACACGTGCACA